CCCTCTCCAGCTTTGAAAGTATCTTGTCTCCTCATTGGTCATTTTGGTCAGGTGCCAGCGAGGTTATCTTAGCTTCTTAACCCTTTACAGGTGAAAGCGTTCTGACTCTGGCCAGGAGGGATTTTATAGCACTGTATACAGAAAGGTGGTTACTCTTCCCTTTATTTTTATGACACGTCTTATTCTGAAACCATATTAAGTACCGGGTTTTGCACTGTCAAACAAAAATGGCAGTGTTAACATTTTGGCAGGTCCGTGAATACCACAAGGGCAGCAGAAAGATTTCCATATTTTGCACTCTGATTTTGGGGCTCTTGGTGGAGGCTGTTCATAAATCTGTACTTCTGCCAAATACAAGGTGTGATGAAGTGGGAATTTTTTGTAATATTTTATGAGTCCCGAGCGTGTCTTAGTTTTCCCTATATGTTGCATTGTTGCCCAGTGGAGGGGCAGGGAGGCGGGGGCGGGGGGAAGAAGACTGACTGTTCTCAGGGCAGGCTAAGGCCATGTCTACACTTTCACTTATGACGGCAAAATTTATGTTGCTCAGGGGTGTGAAATAACACAACTCTGAGTGACATAAGTTTCAACGGCATAAGTGGTAGTGTGCACAGCACTATGAGGTCAGACAGAGATAGACAAAGTTTGAACAATGGGGTTCATTACAGCTTGGCTGCGCATAAGGCAACCACAGCACTACTCGTATCCCTAAGCCTAGATTAAACACACAAACTGGCCCTAAAAGTAACCTGGGCTCCTAAACTGGACCTATGATGGGATGTACCAGGCCCTTCGAGGTGCCCTGCTAGAGGTGTTGCGGTCCTACCACAACCCACCCCAGAAAAGGAGCAGTAAAGGTGGGTCCTCTTGGCCTGGGAAGCATCCTATCAAAGGTCAGCAGGCTCAAATAAAAGGAGTTACAGGGGCTGAGCTAGTCAGTTCCTGGCAGGGACCAGAGGAGCAAGAAAGATGCTTCTTACTGGAACTCCAGGGAGAACCAGAAGATGAGTTCTGCTGACACTGGCATTCTGCGACGAAGAACTTCAGCCATGAGGGAAAGGTGAAAAGAAAGGGGGTACGTGGGAAGTAGCCCAGAGAATAGCAGCAGCAACTATTGCAGGAAGCAGCATGTGGCTGATATTTATAGGGTTTCTGGGTCAGGACCTGGAGTACTTGGCAGGTACAGGTCCCCCTACCGGCCATTGGCAGGGTGTCCTAAGCCCCAAGAAGGGGATAAGGCTTGTTTAGAGGCCCAAGTGAACGGCAGGACTTAAAAAGTCTCCAGAGAGAAAGCCCTTAGGACACTGCTCTATACCAAGGCAGACAGAGACTTAAAGCTAGCCCAGAAGGGGCTGAGAACTGAGCCCAGAGGAATGGCTAAAGACATTACCAATGGCACAGGGACAAGCCCGGTTGGACCTCTTACCCTGGAAGGGGTTCATTCATGCATATTGATTGTGTGTGACTTGGCTGGAGGGCTGAGCCACTGAAGACCCGCCTGACAAGGGCAACAGCAGTTAGAGAGCACCGTGAAGAGAGAGAGTGAGTGCAGGTTCAAACCCACCCGGCAAGAGGTGCTTACAAGAGGTGAGTGTGTCCCCTGTCACAGGACCCAAGCACAATTCTAAATAGGGCCCATAAAACAGCCCCAAGTCAACCATAGCCACAGTCCTAAACTCATGGCATCCTAGCACTAGCCCAAGTTCACAAGATGGCCCCAATCTTAACAGTTTCAGGCCAAAATCCTGGCATCAACTCTATACTCCAGCCTGGGCCCTGAAAAGGATCCCAGGCTTTAGCCTAGACCAATGAATGGGCCCAACATTTACTCTAGCCTGTGCCTATGCCTGCCCTCACAAGTTGGACCTAACCTTAGTGAAAAATCAAAAGCTAAAACCATCCTTAACCCAAACCAGCAAACTGGCTCCAATCCTAGATCTATCCTAATCCGACAAGTTAGCACTAAACCAGAGCTCATAATCTGACATTAAGCTAAGGGCTAGTAACTCATGCAAAACATGCAATACGCCTGATCAATAGGGACACCAAAACTACCATAGAAACAATTTCAAGTCTGTGTTCTCACATGATGTTCTTAAACAGTTAAATAAAATAAAAATTATCCACATCTGTTACGTGTGAAAAACCACATATATAAATATAATATACATATGCATTAAAATATATACTGTGTCAGTGACTGTGAGAATTAGCATTTTTCATAAAAGATGTGTAAAACTTCTTATAGTTCAACCACTCACAGTTAGATACATACTCTGTGTTAGCTGTGTAGCCACATACCCCAAAGTTATGCTAAGTAATAATTTACATTTATTAATTTTATTTCCTCCTATTTTAATATGTTTGAATACACGATGATTGAAATTCATCATAGCTTCCTTATACAAACACTGGTTCAAGGAGTTACGGGTTTGTAAGTAAATTTGAACATGCTTGTCCCACACAGTCTTCAGGGACTTATATAATGAGAATCACTAAACATTTTGGGATCCCTAGGAAAAAAATGCTGTCCTAAGCACTCCATTGTTTTGCCAGTATGTTCTAGTTAGCCTTGGTTCATAAAAATGGTATTTCCTTTACTTCTATTAATTGGAATGTGAAATGAGAAGTGAAATTTATTACGTAATCATGTTTAAATTAAAAAAATATGCATTTTAAATTTTAAATATTGCTATTTATTCACTGAAAAAAACGCAGATTTGGTCGACCTGGAACAGTTTCTGAATTTCTACGGCATTCTCTTACAATCCGGGAGACCTAACTTCACTCTCCGTCTCCACATAAGGCGGAAGGAGAAACTGAACCCAGGTCTTCCACATCCCTGGAGAGTACCTTCACCACTTTACTAAAGATTAGAAGGGACTGCAGGTCCTTCTCTCCTCTCCTTCACCATCTCCCTAGCCCATGTGTTTTGGCAATCTAGTCCTCCTTGGTAAAATTCTGGCAAAATGCCCCCAAATTGAAACATTTCAACACAACTCTACATTTTTTCAACTTTTTGATTCAGTGAAAATTAAAAAACACACAACACATTTTTGGTTTGACCCAAAACATATTTTTTTCCAGTATTTCAAAATTTCCAATGAACTGAAATATCCATTATTTGCCCAGCACTAAATATACCCTAAAGGCCAGATTTTGCTATCAGTTATCCTGGTATAAATCCACTGACTTCATCCAGATTTACATTGATATAACTGATAGCAGAATCTAGACCTTTGCGACTACTGTATTTCAACTGATTGAACTGATAAATTCCACCAGTAGTTTAAGAGAGAGAAAAAGGACCAGTGTTGTTTATGTTAAAATAAGAAGCTAGTAAACAAAAACAGCAAGAAGCAGGTGCTACCGCAAAACAATGTATATCAAATGCATATCAATGCATAGCCAAGCTTCCCCTAAAGCACAAGTTGGAAACAACTGAATAGCAGATCATGCTCTATTTGGACTGTGTGAGAGAAATGCTACATCTTCTAGTATCCTGCTGTGTAAATGTAAATTAACAGATTAATGCTGTAAGTGTTATTTGAAGTGGGAGATTTTTAACAGTTTAAATGCAGTCAGAATCAAATCAAAGGTAAAGATTGCAGAGTTTTCCATTTAATATCAAGTGTTCTCTGATTATGAATTATGAAACTGCAGAAGCAAAATATTTATGTTAAATTGGAAAAGGACAAAAAATTGACTTTGCCAATGAATGGAAAAGCCAATGCAGTTTTAGTGCAAACTACAAGACCCCTTTGGCCTGTGTAGCATTTGCATGGTCTCCATTCTTGACTCAAATATACTGGTGAGAAACTAGGCTTGTTAGGAATTCCTACAGCTGTATTTGAAACCTGTTAAGTGTTTTTCCACCTATGTTGCAGCAGCCAGAAAAAACACCCACAAAACCAAACAACCTATTCCTAATCAACTCAGAAGCCAAAACATTACATACTCTTTTTGGCTACAGTATGCATCATCCTTTGCATTGCTTAGATTTTCAATGATTAGGGTTACATGTACATGTAATTCCTTATTTTTTGCAGTACATAGACATCATTTGAGAATGTCTAAAGTGGAATAGCGTAAGTAATAAAAATAATATAAAATAATCGCATTTTACAGAAAATCCAAACAAACAACAGCTTCTGACATAAGCTTTTCTGAACTCACCTTTCTTTTATCCATAAAATTACCTTGTAGAATTAGGTTTAGACCTTGTATTACTGACCTATTTTGCCTTAATGTGGACCATACACAATTTAAGATTACATATCATTCCACTATGTGGGTATGTTAGTCTCATTAACTATGACCTATTTTTCAGAGCCAATGATTCTCCTTCTGCCTAAAATCATGATTCTGCCATCTCTGTGATTATAAGCTATGAACAGACAGAAAATGATGCCGAGTGTTAGGGCCATTTATTTGGAGGAATTCGTTTCCATGTGTAGGGCTAAGAAAAGATAAAGGGACACATCATAATATGCAAGATGGACAAGGCAGATTCATGAATGATTAAAATCAATGTGCTGTAAAACTCACCTTCACTATCTCTCTGCTGATGCATAAATTAAAATCAATAAATAGGAGAAATGAAGTGACATTGCTCTGACAAAAAAAACTGCAAAACAGAATTACATGAAACGGCAGAATATCACAATGCAGTGTAACACAGTAAAGAAATAAAGAACGTACTCTCTTGAAAGAAACAAGCAGCTCAAACTGAAAAAGAAGGAATTTGGACTCTTAAAATTGCCTCTAAAGCAAAATGCTGTACCTAAGTAAAGTAAAAGATTGTTGCAATTTATTTCTACCCTTACTAACACATCTTATCCCTTTGTTTACATTTTTTAGCATTTGCAGCAGCTCATTGTGCTTCAGCATTCACACTTAATCTGTGCTGTGTTCCATGGGGCTGCAAATATTAGATTATACTGGAACATAAGACTATCTTATAATTGCAAATGAGGACACATCATGACACAGCAGCTTACCTCCACAACTGGCCCCATCAGCTTGCACACTGGATTGAATTGAAGAAGGGGCTGGAGGATCCCTGAAAGCCTGCAGCTGAGGAGTTTCTTCCTGGGTTGGCAAAAAGGCAGAGCACAAGTCAGTTTCAAGGGCTTGTAGCTTTAACACAGAATTCTGCAGACAAAAGCAGAACATTGGGCTAGATAGAAAACAACAGAAATACAGCGACAGGTCTTCAGTTCACTGAGTCCATTAGCAGTATCTGCAGAAAGGGCGATCCACTAACAGCTCTTAAAGGGATGTGTAAGAGATCAAATTTGCATTATTCCATGTGTATCTTCATGTCCTCTGCTTATCTAAATCCTAACTTATATGGATAATTTAACACACGTGGGGGGAATGGTGATTTCGTCAGCAAAAGACAATTTGTTCTAGGAAGCCAATCTGAGACGGTGTCTGTTTTCTTGGTCTTGGAGCAATATGCTGCTATGCAAGCATTTCATTCATTGTGCTGACATCAGGATCTGATGACATTATGCCCCTCCCAGTTTACCATTCATAAAAAAACCCTAAAAACAAAACATCTCTACAGCATATTGTGAAGCATCCCGCAGTGAACAAAGAGTTACAGACAGCTACGCAGTCCTCCTCAGGGTTCTTGGAAGAGGTTGCATTTTATTTGTTCTTGTACAGACATTTTTTGTATGGAGGTTGTCGCTGGTTCTATCGGGCTATCATATCATTTTCCATCAGCTGCAAAGGCAAAATTAACAGATCTTTGTCGCTCACTGCAGACAACTCAATGAGGACAAGGCTGCTTATCTATACCAGTACCTTCAGCTACTGTTCCACGCTTGGTCCATTTTTCATTTTAAATCTTCAATGCTGAGTGTAATATTCAGATGTACAATCTGACACAAGCATCTTGCTGTGATGCAAATGCTCTGAAAGCCTAATCACCACCTGACTGGATTAAATGAGTCACTCCTGACACTCTGTCTGTTCAATTACTCTCCCTCAAGGGGAATACAGATAGCAATGGAAGATGCATGAAAATACAGAGGGCTGTCTAAAAGCTCACATAGTTGAAACACATAAAACCAAGACAAGTGAAACAATAAAGCACTTGCTGACAAAATCAGCATTGCCCAAAAATATTTGTCCTCATGCTTATGTATCCTTAATTTTATATCCCTAATTATATCTGCTCAGGGTTATCAAGATGTAGATTCTTTCTGAACAGGGATGACCCAAACATCTATGCAAATTATAGCTTCCCCTGTGTACCATAATCAGTGACGCATCATGCAAATTAATAAGTCTATGCAATTTTTACTCTCTTGTGACATAGCCACTTTATAAACCCCATGTCAGTAGAGTTTTCTGTTAAAGGTACATTTGGGCTGTGCGCAATAAAATAGAAATTTGACAGAAGATTCCCAGCTCTGATCTGCTCCCTTTGTGGCGTTCAGGCAGTGCAAGGGAGTGGAAATTGGCTCCTTGTTGGGTATACCCAGGGAGGGGGAATCTCCACCAGGCATAGAACTGGCATAATCTGGGTCCAGGCCACTCTTCCGCAGCCTCCAACTCAGTCTGTGTGTAAACAGGGGATTTGTCCCGCCATAGTAGGGAAATTTCTCTATGTATGCAGTACCCTGGCTGAACCAAGTGACGAAAGGATCCAAGTCCCCACCTGAAAGCACTTTCATAGAGTCATAGATATTAAGGTCAGAAGGGACCATTATGATCTAACCTGACCTCCTGCATAATGCAGGCCACCGAATCTCACCCACCCACTCCTGCAATAAACCTCTCACCTACGTCTGAGCTACTGAAGTCCTCAAATCATGGTTTAAAGACTTCAAGGTGCAGAGAGTCCTCCAGCAAGCAATTCATGCCCCATGCTGCAGAGGAAGGCGAAAAACCCCCAGGGCCTCTGCCAATCTGTCCTGGAGGAAAATTCCTTCCCGACCCCAAAAATGGCGATCAGCTGAACCCTGAGCATGTGGGCAAGATTCACCAGCCAGATACCCAGGAAAGAATTCTCTCTAGTAACTCCGATCCCACCCCATCACAGGCCATTGGGCCTATTTACCATGAACAGTTACAGATCAATTAATTGCCAAAATCATGTTATCCCATCAGACCATCTCCTCCATAAACTTATCGAGTCTAACCTTAAAGCCAGATGGGTCTTTTGCCCCCACTGCTTCCCTTGGAAGGCTATTCCAAAACTTCACTCCTCTGATGGTTAGAAACCTTCATCTAATTTCAAGTCTAAACTTCCCAATGACCACTTTATATCCATTTGTTCTTGTGTTCACATTGGTACTGAGCTTAAATAATTCCTCTCCCTCTCCGGTATTTATCCCTCTGATATATTTATAGAGAGCAATCATATCTCCCCTCAACCTTCTTTTAGTTAGGCTAAACAAGCCAAGCTCCTTGAGTCTCCTTTCATAAGACAAGTTTTCCATTCCTCAGATCATCCTAGTAGCCCTTCTCTATAACCTGTTCCAGTTTCAATTCATCCTTCTTAAACATGGGAGACCAGAACTGCATACAGTATTCCAGGTGAGGTCTCACCAGTGCTTTATATAACGGTACTAACACCTCCTTATCTCTACTGGAAATACCTCACCTGATGCATCCCAAGACCGCATTAGCTTTTTTCATGGCCATATCACATTGGCAGCTCATAGTCATCCTGTGGTCAACCAATACTCCAAGGTCCTTCTCCTCCTCCGTTACTTCTAATTGATGTGTCCCCAGTTTAGAATTAGAATTCTTGTAATTAATCCCTAAATGCATAACCTTACACTTCTCACTATTAAATTTCATCCTATTACTATTACTCCAGTTTACAAGGTCATCTAGATCCTCCTGTATGATATCCCGGTCCTTGTCTAAATTGGCAATACGTCTCAGCTTTGTATCATCCGCAATCTTTATTAGCACACGCCCACTTTTTGTGCCGAGGTCAGTAATAAAAAGATTAAATAAGATTGGTCCCAAAACCGATCCCTGAGGAACTCTACTGGTAACTTCCCTCCAGTCTGACAGTTCATCTTTCAGTATGACCCGCTATAGTCTCCCATTTAACCAATTCCTTATTCACCTTTCAATTTTCATACTGATCCCCATCTTTTCCAATTTAACCAATAATTCCCCATGTGGCACCATATCAAACACCTTATTGAAATCTAGGTAAATTAGATCCACTGCATTTCCTTTGTCTAAAAAATCTGTTACTTTCTCAAAGAAGGAGATCGGGTTGGTTTGGTACGATTTACCTTTTGTAAAACCATGTTGTATTTTGTCCCATTTACCATTGACCTCAATGTCCTTAACTACTTTCTCCTTCAAAATTTTTTCCAAGACCTTGCATACTACAGATGTCAAACTAACAGGCCTGTATTACCCGGATCACTTTTTTTACCTTTCTTAAAGATAGGAACTATGTTAGCAATTCTCCAGTCATACGGTACAACCCCTGAGTTTACAGATTCATTAAAAATTCTTGCTAATGGGCTTGCAATTTCATGTGCCAATTGCTTTAATATTCTTGGACGAAGATTATCTGGGCCCCCCGATTTAGTTCCATTAAGCTGTTCGAGTTTCACTTCTACCTAAGATATGGTAATATTTACCTCCATATCCTCATTCCCATTTGTCATGCTACCATTATCCCAAAGATCCTCATTTGTCTCATTAGAGACTGAGGCAAAGTATTTGTTTAGATATTGGGCTATGCCTAGATTATCATTAACCTCCACTCCATCCTCATTGTTTAGCAGTCCCACTTCTTCTGTCTTCGTTTTCTTCTTCTTTATATGGCTATAGAACCTTTTACTATTGGTTTTAATTCCCTTTGCAAGGTCCAACTCTACTTGACTTTTAGCCTTTCTCACTTTATCCCTACATGTTCTGACCTCAATAAGGTAGCTTTCCTTGTTGATCCGTCCCATCTTCCATTCCCTGTATGCTTTCTGCTTTTTCTTAATCATCTCTCTGAGATGCTTGCTCATTCAGCTTGGTCTACAACTCCTGCCTATGAATTTTTTCCCTTTTCTTGGGATGCAGGCTTCCGACAGCTTCTGCAGCTTTGACTTGAAGTAATCCCAGGCCTCCTCTGCCTTTAGATCCATAAGTTCTTCAGTCCAATCCACTCCCCTAACTAATTTGCTTAATTTTTGAAAGTCAGCCCTTTTGAAATCAAAAACCCCAGTCGCAGATTTATTTTTGTTTATCCTTCCGTTCAGTTTGAACTGAATTAGCTCATGATTACTTGAACCAAGGTTGTCCCCTACAACCATTTCTTCTATGAGGTCCTCACTACTCACCAAAACCAAATCTAAAATGGCATCCCCTCTTGTCGGTTCAGCAACTGTTTAATGAAGGAATCCATCAGCTATCGTATCTAGGAAAATCTGAGCCCTATTATTATTATTACTAGGAGTTGTCCTCCAGTCTATATCTGGGAAGTTAAAATCTCCCATGATCACGCAGTTTCCATTAGTATTTACTTCATTAAAAACATTGAAGAGGGCTCTATCCATATCCATATTAGATCCTGGAAGTCTGTAGCACACCCCAAGCACTATTACAGGGGAGGCTCCAGTAGTTTTCTTCCCCAATGTGATTTTTGCCCAGACGGACTCTGTCTTATCCATTCCATCGCTTCTTATTTCTTTACAGTCTGCCTCATCACTGATATACAAGGCTACTCCACCACCTTTGCCTTTATTTCTGTCTTTCCTAAACAGCACATACTCTTCAATACCTGTAGTCCAGTCATGACTACTATTCCACCATGTTTCTGTTATCCCTATAATATCTGGTTTCACTTCCTGCACCAGTAGCTCTAGTTCCTCCATTTTGTTACCGAGGCTCCTCGCATTGGTGTACAAACATCTTAATTTTTGTTGTTTGGCCTCGCTCACATTCTTCACCCGATTAGGCATGGACATTCTACAGCCAGTATGACCTATTAGACTGGTATCCACACTGCCCTTCCTCCTTATGTCCATTCTCCTAAGCATGGCTGTATCCTTTCTTACTTAGTTTTCTTCCCTCTCAATGCTAAAATCTGGCGTGGAGATTACCTGGAC